CAGGCCCGAGATGCTAAAATGAGAAGCGCCAAGGTGAAGGCCCCGCACCTGCAAGTTGTAGCCCGCACGGCCAAGCTCGGCCAAGCTGACCCAAGCTCACCGCGCAGGCGCTGCCTGAACTGTACCCCGGAACGGTCAGTAAGACGGCTCCCCTTCCCCAAACACTGGGCACGACTGATCTTTCTCATTTTCGCCCAGCTCTGATCAGCAAGAAAAGGACGTGGGCATTTAATTTGCCATTTCCCTAATTACTACAGCCATTGGGCGCCTTCCCGCAGGTCCCTGGGAACAGCCAGAGGTGGCTTGGCCAGGGCAGGTCCAGGGGGAGTTTTCCTTGGGCTGGGCCATCCCCCCCACTTCCTCCCACCCTAAAGCCTTGAAACAGGGACTTCCCTCTCCCGCCCACACCACACCCTCGCCTCCGCCAGGGCCCAGCAGATGGGGGAGGCCGCCTTCCGGTCACAGAGAGGAAGCCTCGTCCTCCATTGTTCTGTGCAGAGCCCAAAACGCAGGCCCCGGCTCCAGGAAGAGCCACGTGGTCACCAGGGACATTCCTCCATGGCCTGTTCCCAGATCTGCTGGCTCTGAGCAAGCTTCCTCCGGCAGCAGCTTCAGGCCTCAGAGGCTGTGTCCTCATCATAAAATGAGGACCTCCTGAAGTCCAGGGAGGACACTGGGAGACAGCGGCTAGAAAGGGGTCCCAGAGCAGCTATTCCCAGCATCACCCCAGCAGCACGGGGCGGCTCCCTGCGGCCCTGCCCTCTCCCACCCGCCTCTCCTGCACTGTGGCTGCAGCTGCCAGCACACTTCTTGGCCAGAAAGACCCTCAGAGGTCTCATGGCCCAAGGCCTGCATGCTGCAGACGGGGATTTGAAACCCAGGAGTAGGGGGAGGTAACAACTGCAACAATATACAGCAATCTTTACGCCGACTCTCTGACAAGTATCGCATGATGAACAATCGATCATTAGTCATTCATAATGATGGTATAGATAGCCACCGCGGACTGAGTGCTCAGTTATGCACCAGGCGCTGGGCTAAGTGCTCATTGTAGCAAGCCCACGAGGGAGGCACCAGTGTTCCCATTTCATAGATGGGAACAGTGAGGCTCAGGAAGGTTAAGAGACCAGCCCAAGGGTGTGGAGCTGGGATCCACATCCTGCTAGACACAGGCACGGTGAGGCGGTACCATCAACCCAAAGAGACCTGCCCCTCACCCCCAAGTCTGCCCTTTGGCAAAATCCTTGGCCTTGGCTGTGGGTCAGGTTCTCTGGAGGCTCCCAAGAAGGGCAAAGCAGGGATAACGTGGAATGTCTCCCACACAGGCGAGAAATTGTGACTTGTCACTTGAAGACTCTTGCCAGCTGACAGGTGGCAGTTGAGGAATTGCGGGGGACGGGCTGTGGAGGCAGGTGTCTCCAACAATTTGGAGGGGGGTTGGCTTTTAAAGCGCTGTGGGTTGGACCCAAAACCATACAGAATCCTCAAGCTGGCATGGAGAAGCTCACCCTTTCCCAGTGCTTGTCTGGAAAGTCAGGGTATTACTGAGGTGGTGGGGTTTTTATTGTTCCATTTTAAATATTTCAAACGCAGAATGTCATTCTAACCAGTTCTCCTCCTAGCTTGGAGATTAATCTCAAGCAGGGATAATGTTTGGGGGTATTATGGATTTCCGTTAAGTATTCGGAATTAATGTTTTGAATACAAGCCCATTTGTAAAGATCCAAAGCCCTAACCTAGTCCTGGCCACCTGGCTGTCTCCTCAGGCCACTAAAGCCCAGTGCCCGGGTTTCATTTTAATGATTCAAATTGGGTTGAGTCCAGCGGTTCTCACACCCCTCCCAGGGGACATTGGGCCCTGTCTGAAGACATTTTTGACTGTCATGCGTGGGGGAGGTGCTCCTGGCATTAAGTGGGCAGAAGCCAGGGACGCTGCTCAGCGCCCTGCCGTACACAGAACGCCCCGCCCCACTGCCCTGCGTGAAGAGTCGTCCCAGCCTGGGCCAAGCAGCGTGGCAGGACTAGTCTAGGCTGGCTGAGGTTTCTGGTCAATCTCACCGAATCACAGCTTACCACTCCACTTTCTTTCATGCCACAGGGCTTAAAACTAAAACAGTACTTATCACAGGAGGTGGGGGTCGGGAAGACAAGAAGCATCTTTGAAATGCCACCTAAATGCTTCTATTTCCACTCAGGAAGGAGCCACATCCAGGCTTCCCCTCATTTGTTTCCAGTGGGCGTGGGCTGAATCCAGTGCTCTGCTCAGGCATCGGTGGAACCGCACTACTCAGCAGTTCGGCTCCTTAGCACAGTTCTGCTGAATAGCGAGGCGTGGTCAGCAGCTCCCACCTCTGCGTTTCAGCCACAGGATGGTCACCTGCACCTGTCCTCTCACTGAACCTCACAGCGGCCTGCGGGGAGTCCTGGCCTTATCCTCACTCACAGATGACAAAGCGGAACCTCCGAGGCTGCCATGCCACGGCCCAGAGCCAGTACTGGTGGCGGCTCTGCCTTACTGCCCCGAGCGCCCCTCCCAAGAAGCCTCAGACTCGTCCTGTCCCTGGGGCTGGTCCTATCTCAGCTGGGAGTACACACCCGGCCTCAGACCTAGGGAGAATGGACTGGATGGGGCCTGGGGGCCCAGTGCTGCAAGAGATGTCCAGAGACAGGGAGGGAGCAAAGGGAACCGTTGGGCAAGTTGAGAGCAATGACAATGGCCCTGAGCCCCTGTAAGACGCAAACTGTTCATGACTGATGCCGTTTTTAACTGTTTACAAGTCAAGAGAGCAGGCCCTGTGTGAAAGAGGAAGACCAGGGCTGGCGAGAGAATTCAGTGCAAGGAGTAGCTGACACAGGTCAGTCCTAATTCTGTAGTTTGCAGCCACTCCTGTCTGATAGAATAACAGTCACAGTAATGACAACGTGAAGGACGATCGCCACTTGCGTTCAGTATCCACCGTGTGCTTGGCGCAGTGCTGACTGCTTGGCAAATGCTGTCTGAGTAATTCTCCCAGTGAGCCACGGGGAAGGGACTATTCTTAGCCCCAGTTTGCAGATGAGTAAACCAAGGCTCAGAGTGGCTAAGGGACTTGCCCAGGGTGGCACCCTGGAAAGTGGCAGAGCCTGGCCTCCCGCCCAGGTCTGCTTGACTGCAAAGTCTAAGTACGCACGAGGCTCTTCTAACCAGGAACTGGGGACTGGCACAGTCAGGGCAAGGTCGTCTCAGGTTCCTGACTCTCAGGCCCGGCTTCTACAGCAGCGCCAGAATGTACTCAGAGCCACCAAATGGAGGATGAGGCCTGCAGCACCTGAAGACATCTGCAAACCCCTGTGTACAGATGGGAAACTGAGGCTCTGGGTCAGGGAGAACCCAGGCTATACCTCAGCCAGGCCTGTTCCCTCCCCACCACCACACACTGCATAGATCTCATTAGAATCCCAAGTTCAAAAGAACTCTCTGGCTTCCCTACCCTTTCTAGGGAAGGAGGGAGGCTTAGCCTAAAACCGCTAAAAAAACCTTTGTTTCTTGACAACTGTCCTGGATGCCTTGCAAAGCCAGAGGAGGTTTCTGAGCTTAAGATTTCTTAGAAAAGGTCCTCACTAAATAACCAAGAATCATGTTTCCCTTCCTGGAATGGAAAGGCAGCCCCCCACCTGGACTGGATTAACAGCTGCTCTTGAGACGTGAGGGGCTCAGCACAGAAATCAGGTTGTTGGAGGGAGGGGGCAGGCGCCTCCGGACGTGGCCACGTGTACCCCTTTGGGCAGGCATGGTTACACCCTGGTTTTAAGTTTTAGCCTGATCCTCCTGTTTCTCTTACAACTTCAGAGTCATTAAGTGGAGAAGCCTCAAGATCTGGCCACCGGCCATCCTCCACCCCTCTTGTTTACAGGTGGCCTACTAAGTTCTGAATCAGTAATAAGCTCCAACTCCTGGGAGAAGTGTCCCCTCTCTTCCTCACTTGCAAAACTGGGAAGTGATGCTGCACAGGGTGGGCATGCAGAGAGAGGCTCTGGGAGTGAACACAGCCAGCCACGGGGGTCAAATTGAGGGACTCCTTCTCGGCGCCCACCTAGGTTTCCCCGCAGGGTCCTCATGCTCGGAAACAGCTATTTTCACCACTGCTGTCTTAGGGTGACTCTTCAACTTAAGTCACTTTTCCCTCTGTCTACTGCTGCTCTTTCCACTTTAGGATGGCCCTCCCTGGGGTCAAGGAGCATGCCAAAAAAGAAGCCCCAGGGGTCCGCTGTCCTCACAGAGACCTACAACAGCCCAGGGGCATTCCAGGGACCAGGCTGCAAAGAAGAGGCCAGTGGGCTCCTCTTAGCTGTTCCTAGTTAGGGCCCCACTGGAGGGACACTGGGCACAGATGTTTGACATCTGCATAAAGTGGCCTTCTGCCTCAGAGACAGAAGGCTCTACATCACAAAGCAAACCAGGTTGCTAAAACTAACCGCACTCTCAAACACAGCACTTTTGGAACAGCAAAGCATCCCCCCAGGTCCTGATGTGCATTTGAAAATGCCAGAGAGACAACTGAGGCCAACCACAAAGCCCCGTAGTATAAAGAAGTCTGGGGGCTTCAGAGGGCCCCAAGTGTCTGCCATGTGCCCCATGGGGCCTGAGCCTGCAGCCTCTCTGGTGACCCCTGATGGTACTGACGCTCCTAGGGCAGACGGCACACTTGCTTTGCCAAAGAGGCATGGGAGGAATGTTCCTCTGCTTTCTCGGCATCTTGCAAGGAAGCACATAGGCACCCCAAGGGCCAGGGACAGTGGCAGGGTAGGTCCTTGAGCCATGACCCCAATCTGGATCAACAGGCAAACCCTCCGGGGAGTCACCTGGCCAAGGAGGACTCAGAGGCCACTTCCATGTCTGCCTACAGCTTCCCTCTGGCAGAGGGAAGGCCCCTCTCTACATGTATCTGCACCCTCCCCCCAGGCCTCCAAGCTCAGGCACCCTCCGCAGTCCCCAAAGCTTGCTCCCGGGCGGTACTCACATGCCCTGCTCGCCATACTGGTTGTAGAACTCCATGTGGCTGCACGCCTGAATCCAGCCAACGATCCACGTCTCCTTCTTGGGAATGGGCGGCATGACCACCTGGGCCGAAGCCCGGAAGTGGGGCGTCCGGTAGCGGAGCACCACGCTGGAGGACTCGTCAATGCTGGTGGGGATGGGGTCGATAGAGGCTTTCACATCGATCACTGTGATCCCTTCCCGGAAGACTCTGGCTTTGCCTCCGATGCTCTGAATACAGCCCATGGCACACAGGACCGCTCTGATCTCCAGGCAAGGCCAGCAGTCCCAGAGAAAACCGGGCATTGAAAGGATGGAGGCTGCCGGACCCAGTGCACACAGTGCTGCTCTCCAATCTAAATCTCAAGACCGATATCCATAGGATAGAAAACTCACAGAGTGTAGGGGGGCTGCATATCACTACCGCGGCCTGTTTATAAATAAGGATTTTGCTGCATTTCAAGAGCCCTGGGCTCTCTCTTCTTCTCCTAGCAGTGGACAAAAATCACCGATATTCTTTGGGTTAAAAAAAGAAAAGTTTGGAGTTTAATGCATAATCATGTTGTTCTGACACCCGGAGCTTCTGTGCCTCACACACGGGGATGGCAGCCCGGAGCTCTCCCTGAAGTCTTCGGAGGAAGAAGGCTAGCGCTGGCTGACACATAAATAAGGAAGGCTCAGTCCCCGCGCGGTTGCGCCACCCTCGCTGCAGAAGCCCGACTTCCTGCCCCCCGGCCTTCCGCACGCGCTCCCTCCGGGAACAGCTCGCGGCCGCTCGCCCGGCGGGGCCGCAGCAGTGGAACAGTTTCTGTTCAATCCGCGGGGTCCAGTCGCGCTGGGGGACGAGCGCCCACCCTCGGCTTCCAGCAGGCGCGCTCTGGGTTCGGGCCGCCCGCCGGTGCCGGAGCAGCGCGACGCGGGTCCCCGTCGGCGCCTACTAGGGGCGCGGGCCGGACGCCCCCACGCGGGCGCCGCGTCCCCCTCGCCGCTGTCGCTGTCGCTGTCGCCGCTGGCCGCCGTGCGGGGCCCCGGGGCTGCGCTCCGGCCGCCGCCGCCTGGCTCTCCGCGGCCGCCGAGGACCTGGTGGGAGGTGGAAGGGACAGGGCGTCAGGCTCGCCTCAAAGTTCAGCCGAACTTTGCTGTGGGGGGCGCGCGGAGGCGGCGACGCGTGTGCTCGGGGCGCTAGCTGCGGAGCTGACGGCGCAGCTCTGGGCGGTCTCCCCGGAGGCGGCGGCCCCCCCCTGCCCGCCCCATCAGTGGCGGCCGCAGGACCGCGCGCACCAGCGAATAATCGCCGCCCGTGACATCTCCATTGACACCCTCCTGTCTCCTGCCCGGGGGCGGGGTGAGGGGGCGACCGGCTGCCACTGCAGTGGGCGGCGAGGACTTGCCCTGGCACTGCTCCGACCGCCTCGCCGCCAGTGCCAGGCGCCCCTTCCCCGCCCCGGACTCTTCGGCCCCCCGGGGGCGCAGTGCCACCCCTAGGCCGGTCTGATCGGGCGCGCGCCCCTTCCCGGGCCGGCGTTCGCCGACCCCCGGAACGCGCAGTGCCCCCACCCCGCCGCTTTGGGCACCTCTGTACCCCCTTGCCAGCCGCGAGCGGCCCCAGATCCCCGCGAGTTGGGCGCGCTGGCCACTGCCGGGGAACTTTTGCGCGCACGCCCCCACCCGAGCGGCGCCGCCGACTCACCTGCCCCTCGGGCCGCTCCGCGTGCCCGGGCCGCCGCCCTCCGGGCGCCCCTCACCCCGCCGCGGGCACGTTCTCGGGGCGCCCCCACCCCCTTCCTGAGGCAGTGTCCCCTGGCTCTACTGGGGGCTGGGGCCGGCGTGGGCGCCCCGACCACCGCCGTCTCCTGGCTCGGGGCTGCTGGGGATGGCCGGGGGCGGAGACCTGAGGCTCGGGGCTCTCTCGCCCCCACCCCGCGCCTCCTTATTTTACGATCATTGTGAGCGCGCTGTAGCCGCTCAGCCCCGCGCCGCGCCGCAGCCGCCTGGCGCGCCCCGCGCTGCCTCGCTCCGCTGCGGCATCGGAAAGGCAACCAGGTCAAACTTTGCAGAAACTCGGCCCCGGCGCCCGCCAGCCCCCGCACCCGCTCGCAGCCCGCGCACGCAGGGACCGCCGCCCGCTCGCCGGCCCCACGGGGATGCAGGTCCGCAGGCGGCGGCGGCGGCGGGCGCCGCCTCCTCCTCCCCGCCCGCCCGGCTCTCCACCCTCGCTCCCCGCACCAGCCCGCCCTCCCCCTGGTAATCCCTCGCTCCTCTCCCCCTCTCCCTCTCTGCAGCTGCTGGGGAGCTGAGCCTCTCCTTGCAAAAACGACATTTCCTTTTTGGCTGTCTCCAGGAATTCTGGGTAGTGTAGTTCCGCTTCTGTCCCGGGTCCAGGTGGGCTGCTCCCCATGCCCTTTGAACTCTACAGTCCAGGCCGGAGGCTCTCTTGGCCTGGAGTTGGCAGGGAAGGGCTGCACTGCTCTGAGGCCCCTGGCCGCAGGGGGGACAGTGGCTGGTGGAGACAGTGCAGGGGCTCTGGCAGACTCCAGAGCTGGGAAGGTTGGGGTGAGGGGTGCCGGGTTTGGGGAGAGGTTGGTCCCTCCCTGCAGGTCTGCTGGCGCTCTGACTGGTGGTCCACCTGTTGGGCTCAACGGTGTGATCAGTGCTGCACAAGCATCTTCATTTCATCCCCCCTCAGCCACCCCATGCGGGCAGGCCTGTAATGAAGTGTTTCACGGAGGCAGTGCCTGAAGCTGGGAGGCTTGGAGACTTGCCCAAGGCCCCACTTGGGCAGGTGTCCCAGCTGATGCTGGGACCCTAGAGGTCCAAGTGCCGAGGTTCAAAAGGGGTTTGAGGCTGGACAGGTGTAGGAGAGCTATGAACCCCATCCCTACCTTCCAACTACTCCCCCAGAGAGAGGCCAAGCAGTTTGTGACATCAGGAAATCGACAGCCACGTTAAAACCACACTCTCCCACCATGACTCACTCTGACTTCCAAAGGTGCCCACAGATGGCGCAGGGCGGGTGGTTCCAGCTAGTCCCAGAGCCAGAGTGTGCTGAGTGCCTGAGGGCAGGGGCTGGAGGGCTGAGGGCAGGTTGCGCTGGGATGTCTTCTTCCAGGGAGGAACAGCCAGGCCGAATGACCATGTCACAGCAGCACAGCTCAGCCACAGAGCAGGAAGCAGCCGGTTAGGTGGCCAGTGCCTCTCACCCAGCCACGCCTTCCCCCTGAGCACCGCTATTGATCGGCCTGTGTCCCTGGCCTGTTGAGAGGGTCATCCTTTTCTAGTTCAGTGAGTACGTGGCTGACTCAGCCCAGGCAGGGTGGCCCTTTTGACCAGTTTATTACCGCATAGCAGACCCCCAGACAGCACAGGAGTTCCCTAAGGGCCTCACGTAAATTTCCATTTCCAGGAAGAAGTCTTCCCTGGCCTCCTAACTCACAGCGACCTCTGCCCACCATGAGCTCATGGCCCTAGGAAAACATCGTGTCCCTCTGGGACTCAGGACAGCCTTCAACACCTGCTGTGCCATCAGGTAATGATGCTACTTGGTTTATACATAGGAAGATATTAGCCTTTGATCCATCTCATCTCCCTACTCCCCTCAACCCAAGAGCCTGGAGCTGTGCAGACCCCACTGTCTGGGTGGTCCTGAGGACAAGGTAACGAGTTCAAGGGTGCTCCACGAACATGTGCTGAGCCACACATCCCTTTCCTGACATGGGCAGAGGCCATGGCCCTAAGCTGCCTCGAGAAGCACGGCAGCCCCTGGAGGTGACTTCCTGGGCATGGTCCCTGTCGGGGCCCATGAGAAGTGGTATTGCTCCCTTCAGCCCTCGGCTGAGCCTGGGTTTGTGATGATGCTGCTGAAGCCGGCACCATGTGTCAGGTGCTGCACAAGCAAGCACTGTCTCCCTTACCCGTTACCTTGACCCTGGCTAAGGTGCTCCACAGACAAAGAAATGCAGGGACCAGATCTGGCCAACAGCAAAGCCCACACTCAACTCTTCCACTGGGCATGTTGCCCATGCTGGCTGCAGCTGGCCCCTCCAAGCTAAGATGGGGCTGGCCACTAGGAAGTCCTACTGGAAGAGGTGCTTGGGTGCCCATGGGATGAGGACTTGCAAAGTACAAGACCCTCTCCCTTAACCTGCCGGCCTTTCACATCACCCCTATGAGGGCCTTGTCTCGGTCTGCAGGGGGAGGAGGGCCCAAGCGGCCTCATGGGCCTGTTTGCCAGGCTCTGAGCTGAGGGGCAGCTCCTCAGGCCCAGCCCTGACAGACAGGGTGGGAACAGGCTCGGCTCCTGCGTGCATGCCCTGTCCCAGCTCCTGAAGCGCCCACCAAGGTTCCAGCTGCTTCCCCAGCTCTCGGGCCGCTCCGGCCCTCCCGCTTCCCCACACAGCCCTTCCTCCTGCTCAGCATTTTCTGGGCTCTGTGGGTGTTGGGCACAGACCCACGGCAGCCTCAGCATATGTGAAAAGCTCATGACGCGTCCACGCTGGCGTCTGCAGAGCAGAGGGAGGGGACACCCGATTGAGTCACTGCCCAACAGCACAGGGGCACTCACATTGCTCCCAGCCCCCATCCTTTCCCCCAGGCCTCAGTCCCCCCAGACTCCTCTGCAAATGAGAAAGAGGAGGGGTCAGGATGCCCAGCCCCACCCCGCCCCCGAGATGATGAACTCCTCAGCGTGGCAACTTGGGAGCTCAAAGCGTTGTCGGTGGGAGGACAAGGGCCCATTGCGTCCCTCAGGTCCTGGTATGTGGGCCCACAGAGGTCATGAAAACCCAAAGCTACGCAGCAAGTCAGAGGTAGAAGCAACACTGACCTTGCCCAGCTGCGCTATTGCACACAGCCCTGAACACGTCGGGGGCCCTTGGAGGTCTGTGGAAAGAGCCGGACGCGGTGCCTCCTGGCTGCAGGTCACTGAGCTGGGGCTTTGCATACAGCATCTTCATGGCTTTCTGCAATGAGCCCGGGAACCAGGCCCTGTCATCGGCCCATTCCACAGTTGAGGACACTGAGGCCTGGCGAAGAGGGAAGGGTGGATTGAACCAGGCAGCCTGGCTCTCATACCCAGAGCTCGCTGATTCGGATGTGCTGGACACTCCCACCAGCATTCCCTGCAGGGTTAGGGACCTCGTTTTCAGTGGCCACTGGAGACAGTCCCAAGGCTCCTTCTCTGTCATGGACCAACCTACATTCAGGGTCCCAGCCGGTTCTCCCAGGGCTCATCACCTCCAAGGATGGGGTCATCATGAGGCCAGAAAGGCATTTTGCAGGAGGGAAAATTCCTCTTTCAGCAGATGGAAATGTTAAATGCTGGAATTCTGTTGCCCTGGGAGACAGGGTTCTCTCCCCAACTGTTTGGGAACAGATGGAAAGCCAATGGTGAAGCTTGGAATGTCCACCTGGGACATGGGTGGGCTGGGCCAGGGGCCCGCAGGTGGCTGGAGCCGGGGTGTGGACAGGCAGGGAGTTGGATCAGTCGCAGGGCTCACCCTGCATCCCCGATATGCCCCCCTCTGCAGGGAGCAGGCTGGGCCTGGCCAACTGAGTAGGGACCAGACCTCAGAGAGGGCTGGTCCAACAGCCTCCCCTGCAGGTGGGGAACAGAGGTCCTCCAAGGATGGCTCCTCCACTAGAACCCAGGCCTCCTGGCCTCCAACTCGGCGATGAGC